GTGGCTTGTGAGGGCTCTATTGCAACTACTCTGCCATTAAATCAGGAAAGCAACCACAGACAACACATAAATGAATGGGTGCAGCTGTTTTCCAATAAAACCTTATTTACAAAAATAGACAGTGGGCTGGATTGGCTCTCAGGCTGCAGTTTGCCACCCTAGCTCTGGAGGATTACTTGAGATGGCATTTAATGCCTTCACATCCAGGTCTTCGATCACACTGTGAAGCACCCCAGCCCTGACCCAGGCCCCTCACTCCCTCTATCTCCTCACCAGGCTTGTTTTCCACAGCACTTACTGTCTGAAACGGCCACCTGTCTACTTGTGTAGTGACTGTCTCCCCCAACAGAACGGAAGGCCCCTCAAGGGCAGGGACTGTATCCTCAGCACCTGGCACAGACTAGATGCCCTTTTAATATTTGCTGACTGAATGGAAACCATTATTATTATCATTTGTTGTTGCTGAAGTCTTTAATATTTTGTTCTCATTATGTGCCCATGACTACTTTTTAAAATTTCATCGTGGTTAAACATATGTAACATTCACCATGCTGTGTGACCACCTATGACTATTTTTAAGGTGTGGAAATATTTTCCGTGATCAATCATTTGCGGTTTTCAAATTTTCATGGGTTGCAGGAAATTATAACGTTGGATATTAACCACTCCATTTTAACCACAAGCCAGCTATAATCCTCCCATTTTGGAAATGAGGGGGCTAAGCTCAAACGTCTCATTGCTCACTGGTAGCCAGGCAGGGATTCGAACCCAGACCTCCCAGGCAGTGCTCATCAAGGGAGTAGTCCAGCAGTGTAGAAAGAGAACGGGCGTTCAAGTCTAAGAATCAAACTCGGTTGGACAAGTCATTTCACTCTCTGCAAAATGCTGACAACAATGTCAGCCTCACAGGGGCATAAAAAAAACAGTTGTCACTGAGCTGACTCCAACTCGTGGTAACCCCATGTGTGTCAGGGTAGAACTCTGCTCCATAGGGTTTTCAGTGGCTGATTTTTCAGAAGCAGATCACCAGACCTTTCTTCCAAGGTGCCTCTGGGTAGACGTGAACCTCCAACCTTTCAGCCACGTTAGCAGCCAAGTGCCCTAACCATTTAACCACTCAGGGACTCCCACAGGGGCACGTACAGGATTAAATAAGATACAGATGGTAAAACAGGTAGAACAGCACCAGCCACGGGGTCAAAGCTACCCTAGTAGCTATTACGATGTAACAAGCTGACAGTGGCCCCGTCCACCCTGCCTCCCAGGGCTATAGAGGGGACTAGCCAAGGGTCTGCCCAGGAAAATGATTATGAAACTGCAAATCCCTGAACAAAAGTAATCTACATTTTTTTACATCCCTCTTTGGGCATCACAGCAAACATTCTCCCTCTAAAAAAACCAAAAAACACGAACATAACGTCAAAAATAAACCAGAAAGACCTGCAATCGGTTCAGAGCTTTAATTGCAGTCAAGAAAAGGGTTAAGTTTCCACAGGCTCACATGTGTACCCACAGCCGGTCACCACGCAGGCAAAAACCGAAACAAAACCAAGGGGTTCTCAAGAAGCCACGGACAAAGGGACGTGTCTCCGTTTTAGCCCATTCCTGTCTGGAGTCCTCTGTAGGCAAACGCAGACGCGAAACAAACACGGCAGCCACAAGAATACAACAGATGGAATGGAATGCCACCACGTTCCGACGCCCTGTCCCAGGGGAAAAGAGAATTACCTCTTTGAAGGCTCTGAGCGTGGCCACCATCGCGCCTCCTGGGGTTACTTTTAGGACAGGAGGAAAAATCAACACACCCAAACTTTTCATGCCTGCCCTCTTCAGTAGAAAGTGATTCACTTGGTTTCAGATTGAAATATTTATGCCTCAAATACAAAACAATGCTAAACACGCACCTCCCCGGTGCCCCGGCCATCTGGCCCTCATCGGAACATCTTCAGATGAAACGCCCAGCTGGGATTCCGACTTCACGACGTGGTGAGGAGTCTTCCTCACAGAGGGGGACCTTCCCAGTGCACAGGGCTCCCTGCGTCCCAGAGAAGGGCAGTTGTCTGTCTCGGGTCCCAAAGTTAGCATGTGGAGAGTTTTCAAAGGAGGGTTAGCCAGACTCCATCCGCAAAGAAACATCGCTCGGCCATGCCGGGTGATGTCAAGAATTTGTTTGGGATGTCATTAAAGCAGGCACAGTCACTGTGGGGCTGGGATTCAGGCTGACGCCGGCCCCAAGGCTGGCCCAGCAGTAAGCCCCTACCTGGCTGCTGTGCACCTCTGAAACCACACAGCCCCCTCAATCCACAAGCTCGCCCCTGGGGAGTGGTGTCTTCGCCACTGTGTCATTTCACTGTGCCGCCGTGTGGCCAAGCGGGACCACTGCTTCCGTGCTGTTCGGGACACGGCATCAGTGGCCACCAGCGCGTTTCTCAAGCTGCTGGATAACACGGGTCTTTTCTCTGATAAATTCTAATTTTGAAGCTACTTCTCCTTCGCCCCCTCACAGTTTGAACAAGTGACCATGTGTTGGCGTCTGTGAGTTGGGAGCAAGGACATGGCCAAGAGAAAGACGTGTTCTTCTGGAGAAGGAAGCTAGCCTTTCTGGGCTCAACAAGAATGTGACTCCATAAGCAACAGGGCTGAAGCATTTCCTGGGCTTGGTTATACAGCTAGGAAATCAGCGCAGACATGGTATGGGCACCTCTGAACTCTGTCCGTCGTGGCTAAAATTATCTCACTAATCATAACTTCTGGAAATCAATTCTCAGTTAAGGGTGGCGGGGGTGTATACACGCCGTGAGATGCGGTTCACCCTGCCGAGCCTGGGCGCTTGATTTGGACCACAGACTCCTGAGGACCTCAAATTAGGAAAACAGAGGGAATCAGTGGGAAGAACTCCTAAGGAAAAGGGGAGGAGTTGGGAGAGAGATTCTTAAGATTTCTCTTCACGGATGCTTCCCGGTACTGGATACTTGAGAACAAGCAAGAGCTGCTGGAATCCAAAAATTACAGCCCCACTTTAAAATACCACAACACACCAGACTTCAGTCTGTTTGTTCCGCGGGTCATTCAGACTGCCAAGACAATGACTCTTTATTGTTCTAGAATTTAAAAGCAAGCCATGGCCTACAGTGGCCGTCCGTCTTATCACACGGCTCTAGGGACACGTCTCCGGGGTCCCCTATCTCCCCCCAGCAAGTGAGAAGCCCCACCAGCCAAAGGACCCTGCTGGATCTATTTCTTCCTGAACCTTCCAGGGTCTCTGTGCCGGCTGCTGGGTTTTCTTTTCATCTGAGTTTTGAAAAACCTCAAGGTCATGTCAGAAAACTTGGAAATTGAGTCCAAATCCATCCCCAATTTGCTCCTTCTTCACTCTCAATCTCCTTGTTCTAAACCTCTCTGGGAGGATGCAGCCTATCATGTCTTATCAGATGCTTCCCTGTCTGAAATCCACGGTAACCGCACTTCATTTCCTTAAGGTTTGTGTTCTGTGGCCACGCATAAGCTCCTAAACCAACAACAATTAAAAACAAAGTGCATTCCTTAACTCCTAACTCCAATCTATTGACGAGGGCATTCTCCGGGCTGTTTTTCAAAGCACACTGTAATAAACGCGCCAGACGTTCTGCTGCTCCTCTATTATATTGTCTCTAATCCTCCACCCAAGCCCTTTCACACGTGAGGAGGGGCCTGACAGACACGGACAAACACGGAGCTTAAGTTACCTTGCCCAGGTCAGTTGGTGAGTTTGGGGCCCCGTCATGACAGAAGCCTGGACCAAGGTGGCTTAAAGGCCAGCCACCAGCTGTCCACTGACCAGTCTGTGCCTCATCTGCTGAGCCAGAATTCCATTTTCTTTCATCAGGGTGGAGGTTTGCACCGGTCCTCCTTCATTTTACTGAAGGAGGTGACTGATTAGGGGTGCAATGAGCAAAGGCCAGTGAATTTTTGGGGGGCCTCAGTTATAGAATCTTTGTGTGGGGGTCTTGGGGCCTTAACTGTGAGTCATTTCAAACAGCATACAATTCAGAAAAACAGAGCTCTCTGTCCCCTCCCCCTACCTCCTCGCCCCCAACCAGTCCCTCACAAAGACTAGAAAGAAGCTACCAGCTTCACTTTCTTCACATAAACACACCAAAAAGTTGTCCTTCACAGGAGGGGTGAAGCACCTAGTTCGAAAGCAAAACACAACTTGGTTAAAGAACTAATTGAAATATACTCTCCGTGGAGGTCGCTCTCAATTTTTTTCTCTCCACGAACGGCTGGAATGCACCTTCCTTGGAATACCTTCAGAACCCAGGAATCTGCATCTTCCTACACACACACACACACACACACACACACACACACACACACACACATCTGCTTTCCCCCTTAATTGTCTGCTCCTTCCAGCTAGGGCCATCCTTGGCTTGGGGGCCCAGGCATGGGGAAGTGGCTACCCCGTAGCTCACCACCACCCCAAGAGAGCCATGGAAGAGTCTGCTCAGGTCTGGGATGTCACCTACTGTGTGTCCTGGAAAAATCATGTATTCTCTCTGAGCCTCCATTTCCCAAAATGGTCTGCACCCCACCACCTCCCGAGGGCCTGAGATGTGTGTAGGGCTTTGCACAGTGGAAAGCGCTAGACTAACATCAGGGGTTCTGATTATCATCATCACTGGTCTTTACTGGAGTCAGTCTGGCACTCTGTGGCCATTGATTCCTGTCCCCCTGGGGACAACTGCATTCATTCCTTAGATCATTTGCCATTGGTGAACTTTTTACACAGGGCTTTGCTACAGCACCAAAAAGAAAAGTCTAGGTGCTGTGACGTAGCCTGGTTTATGGAAATCACAAGAGTCTGGTTCCTGGCAGATCCCAGTTGCCATCAGTTTACCCAACTGCGAAATGGGATGAACACTTTCAAGAGTGGTTTATAATGGTCAGAAACCATTTAGGCAAAGGCACTTTCGCGTATGTTCTGCCCTCTATATTGGAACACGTGGGCACGCTACTTTCCAACACCATGATACAAATTCCCACCCAAGACAACTACAAGCCCTACAGCCCAGCAAAGGATGGCCCTCTTCTTGACACCATCAGCCCTCCCTAGCTTAGACAGCCAGGCTAAGACAAAGGTTGGAGCCCCACAGCTGGCTGGGGAATGCAGGAGGGTGGGTAAGCTATGATTAGACAGACCATCCTAACATGTCCCCCTTCACTCAAGATACTTATGCTGTTTCCTGTGAGCTGGGCCAATACTGACTGAAGCACTTCCCAGGGGCCTGTGGGGTGGAGAGGTGGACAAAGATGGGTCTGCCCTGGCCCAAGCTGGGAGCAGCTGTCTGGCTCCTTGCCCCCTCCCCATACACACCCCATTTAAAGTGCCTCTGCACCACGTGCTCACAGAGAAAGTGCCTGAGAACCTACCCCTCCCCAACCCCCCACCTACCATGAACCCCCTCTAGAAAGCAAATGAAAAATCCCCTTTTGTAGCTAGTCTGAGACCAAGTCATGGACACAGAGAGAGATAGCAGTTTATAAATAGAGCGCTGGAGAGGTCATCTCTCAGGATGATGGAATGATGCCCGCTCCTCTCCTGTGTTAGAATGTTCTGGAAAAGCAGGGCACTGGAAGAGGGGTGAAGGCATAGGCTCATCCTGGGCTCCCCCGCAGGTTCACCCCCTTCAACAGGACAGGGGACCATCCAGGCACACGGCCAGCTAAGGAGTGGGGAGCACAGAGCAGGTTTTCTCGAGGTGGAAGTCTTATTTATAAGGCTGGGGGTGTATTAATAACCATTCAAATTGTTTCATTTGAAATTAACGTAATAGCTTCTTTGAATATTTCTCTCATAGAAACTGGGATTAGCAGAAACAGTCCCGAATGTGGTCTGAGATTCACCTGGATTCACCTGGGCAACTATACGCTGCATGTTGTTAAAACATTTAACGTTTCTGAACCTTCATTTCCTCACGTGGAAAATGGGGAGAACATCTCCCATCTCTGAGGAGTCTTTAAAGGTAGAATGAAATAATGCACATAAATCTTGAAGTGCTGGGTCTGGCAAAATAAATATCATAATAACATTTTTAAAAATTAAGTAGCCGAAGGATTCCTCTATGCCAGGGACCATTCTATGTCGTCTAGACCCTGTAACATCCACAACAACCCCAGGAGGTAGATACTATCACTACCACCATTCTGCAGTTATGGAAGGTGAGGGTTAGAGGGGTTAAGTAACTTGCCCAAGGTGGCAAAAGGGAGCCAAGGCAAACTCCCGCTGCTGGAGGAGCCACCACCGCCTAATTCTGCCCCACAGGCCTGGCCTCCAGGCTGCTACCTTCTTTCTCCAGGGGTGCTCCTTATTTTAAAAGGCAGTAATTGGGGATCACTCCATATTTCATAAGAATTGTTTCACCTGCTGGGGAGGGGACACTTTTACCTTGCAAAGCTTCTACAGACCTGTGTAAAAACACTGTTCTTGTAAAAAGCTATTACTGTGAGTGCGCTGGGTTCCGTAGCTGGCTGATAAGTAGGAGGAAGAACAAGATCACCCACTCCCCAGGCAGCAAAATCTTTATCTCCCTCATCTACTGAATGGACTGAATGCAAAATCAAAAGAAGTTTAACGCATTAACAGCCGTTCCTGCTGCCCCTTGGCCTCCACCCCGTCCCCTCCATGGCCCCTGGGACCTTACAGAAGGCACCCTCTTGTCTTCGTCCCAGGCCCAGCTGCTTATCCTGGCACCAGGAGGCTTCTCCAGCCCTTCGAGAGCTGCCGACGGCCCCCCGGTGCGCTCCCTCCCTCAGCCTGGCTGGTCCTGAGCGGAGAAGGGCGGCGGCGGAAGAAAGCTAGAGATTTCCGCGCTGCGCTTTTTAGACGAGGTTGGCCTAGCTAGTGGACGCGGTGGGAGGCCCAGGGCATCTCAGACGCCCGGAGAGAAGCAGGGCGCGCTCAGCGTCGCGGTGCCCATGGGCCGAGGCGCGCAGCTCGGAGCCGCCCGCGGGAGAAGGACTGGTCGATTTCGTCAGCGCTGCGGGATGGAAACGCTGGCCCCGGGAGAAGGATGGCACCAGGAGCGAGTGTGGAAGATCCAGCGCAGCGTCAATGACGGACATGCGCGCCGACTAACTCTGCCTACGGACTCCGCCGCCTTAGGTCTGGGGTTTCGCGGAAACAGGGCAGGGTGAACGGCATGGAGTGGGTCCGAATAGGCTCCGGGTCGCGGGGCTCCCCCAGCTACCAGGTCCCGTCGGGAAAAAAGGAAGGAGTCCTGGTTCTCCTCTCGGTCCCAGCATCGCCACTCCCCACCCGCTCCTGGAGACCCACGGCGAAACTTTTAAACCAGGCTGCTCGTCCTGGGCCTGATTCATACTCAGAGTTTTCACTTTTTTTGGACAGGTCAGAGCTGCCCAATTTTTCTTCTAAAGCTACGGCCTACACATAGCTTTTTTTCTGGGCCTCAGACTGATGGTTTGGGAGAGGGGACCGGGAAGAGGGGTACGAAATACAGAATGTGGCCCGTCTGCATCGCCATCGCTTTATTATGTCACCGTTAACTTAACTATAAATACTACGATTGGGAACAAGGCGCCGGCCAGCCTCGGCCTGTGGGGCTGCGACCCCCAGCACTGCCCAGGCCCCAGGCGCCAACCCTCGCGGTCTGTACACTATTTACAGCTCCCCGTTTCTCTCTCTCAATCCCCTCCCGCAAGGCAGCGCGTGTGCAAGAAAGTAGCGTCGTCTGTCTGTGCAAGTCCTTCGAGTTAGCCAAGTGCCACGGCCGGCCCGCGGCCGTCAGCTGTCCGAGTCCAAATCGCTTTTACCTTCCTCTTCCCTCTTCGCGGGCGACGCCTTGGACGACGTCTTGTTCCATTTCTCGGCGTTTTCCGACTCCGACGACGATGACCGTTTCTGCCGCCTCCATTTGGCGCGGCGGTTCTTAAACCAGACCTGTTGCGCAACGGGGGACAAAACAACAGCTAGGATCAAATTCGCGCGTCCCCACAGCCTGGCCACCCAGGAGCTTTGCGTGGCCGCAGAACGGCCGGGCGTGGACTCCGAACCGGGGACCCCCGAGAGCCCGCCAAGGAAAGGAGAGACACTCGCTCCCGCTTCCGCGTTTTCATCCAACTTCCTGGGCCTAAAGCGCGCTCCGGCAGCATCCGGGCCGCCACTGGGATGATTTTTAAAGCGCAGGGACACCCAAGGAGAGCCCGGCAGACCCGGCTCAGGACACGTTCCGCGGGAAGGGACGCTAGGCGCGCCTACCTCCACCTTCTCCTCGCGGAGGTGCACTTTCCGGGCCAGCTGCTCGCGCGTGCCCACGTCCGGGTACTTGGTCTCTTGGAAGAGGTTCTCCAGCGCTTCGAGCTGCTCGTCGGTGAAGATAGTGCGGTGCCGCCGCTTTCGCCGGCAGTGAAGCTGATTGAGAAGTTGCAGCTCCGTGCGCGACAGCGTGCCCACGTTCATGTAGGGCAGCATCTGGTGCGGTACCGGTGACACCAGCACCGAGCCGGGGCCCTCGTAGCCTGCGACAGAGTGGGGCGCACGGTCAGCACTGCCGGAGAACGCGCTGGCTCGGGCCTCCCTCGCCCTTGCCCGCCTGCCCCAGACCTGCTCCGACTTAAAAAATCGTCTGCAAGGGGATACTGGGAATTGGGGAAGCGTGGTACAGCGTCCACTCACACATTCCCAAAACCAGTTCTGGCATCTTAAAAGCCTAGTCTCCCCATGCAAACACTGAATGGCAGTTTCTCCAACTCCCGCCTGAAGTATGCAGCAAGAAGCGTGCAAACTCCCGTTGCTCGCAAAAATAAAGGAGCGGAGGATGCAAATTCGCAAGGGGACAACAATTAGTGCAAAGCGCAAAAAAGCCAGCTCGCCGCCTCCCACGCCCAGGGGCCGAGTCCCGCGGCGGGTGACGCCGCTGGGCACGATTCGGACCCTACCTGGGGGCGTCGGGACGCAGGAGCATTGCTGGGCGCCCAGCGGCGGCACGGCCCCGCAGCAGGCCGGGCCCACGGGCGCCGCCTGCACGTGCAGCTGCCCGTAGAAGTAGTTGTTGTAGCCCAGGCGGGAGCTGCCGACCGCGGCCGAGAGGCCCGGGCCGCCGGGGGCCACAGGGCGCGGGTAGAAGGCGCCATAGTCCGAGGAGGCGCCGCCGCCGGCGCCGTACAGCGAGTCCCCGTGGAGGGCCGGGAAGACGACGGGCGCCGCGGCGCTGGGCGCCAACGGCAGCACCGAGTCCTTACAGCGCGGCCGAGCGGCCAGAATGTTGTCGATGCTGAACATGCCGGCGGGCATCCCCGAGCCCCGCGCCGGGACCGGGGGCGGCGGGGACGCGCCGAGGAAAGAGCCTTCAAGTGGGGGGGTCCCGCTCCTCCCGCCACCGACCAAAGCGAAAGAGACGCGGCCGGCGAGCGCGCAGCCCGCGCCCCTCCCCGCCCCCTGCGTCCGCGCGCCTCCTCCGCCCGCCCCGCGCCGCTGCGCGCCCGGTTCAACCCGCGGGAGGACGGCGCTCAGCCCGCTCAACCTCTTGTTGGTTTTATACCGAGTCGACGTCATCCTGGATTTAGTTCCTGGTAATAGGCAGATGACAAACAGAACCCGATTTAGCCCTTTCTTTTCCTTTGGTGGTGGGGGGGATTTAGGGAGGGAGGAGGGGAGAGGTGCCAAAGGGGAGGGGGTTATCGGGCCTGAAAAGAGATTGTGGATTGCGAATTAATGAAATTAACCTAATCTTTTCCATGCCGCGGCTCTGCCGCCGGCCGGCCCGCCGAGCTGGGCGGGCAGCCTAATTGCCCCGGTTAATCTCATTAATTCCATTGTACGGCCGCAGTTAACAACTCCCTCCGCCCGCCCTCTCCGCCCCCACCCTTTTTTCTCGGATTGGGCCTTATTATTGGGTGCGATTTCCTCTGCCTGTAGCTCAAATTCATTGTGGCCCATTTTATTTTGGGGCTACTTTTTTTCCCCCTTTAGGAATTTATTTTGGAATATGTGAGGGGCTGCATCCTCCCTCAACGGGATTGAAAATTACGCCCCTCCTCCGAACCCCCCATACACTCACCTTCACTTTGTTCAATCTCGAGCTTCTCTCCCGAGTGGAACTGGTTAACCCCCCCTCCCCCGAAAACTTCCGTTTTTGCAAAGACCAAAATTTTGAAAGACAAAAACGACGGACGAAGAGGTGCATCGTGTTTCTCAAAACCCCCCGTTTTATTTTCCGCAGCCCTTTTGGGTCTGAAAACTACCAGTGCAGCCCCTAGGCCTTTACACACCGGAGACCAAATTCCACCACTAGTTAAAATTCGCCACCAAGAATACACTCGGAAGCGATACTTCCTGCTCACTCCTGCCTAGGTGTCGGTGGGTTTTGTGTTCTTTCTCGCTTTTAATTTTTGAAATGGGGTATCTTCTTCCTCGTTTTCTCTGTACCCCCCTTCCAGTGTGGCCTTTGAGGCTTCCTCATCTCATGCCCCAGCAGTTGAGTTGCATTTTTTTCCCCTTGGGACTGCCCTGTTTCTGAACAGGGCAGACCTAGCGGCGCGCGGGCTGCCCTTCCGCCCGGCTAAGGCCTCGGCTTGGGCTCCCTGAGCCCCGGCGGCCGGCATCAAGCCCGGCTCTGCTCGCGGCAGGCGGCTGCCGTGATTTGCGGGAACCTCGGCGCGGCACGGCCGGGCCACCGGAGCCGCGGGAGACGCAGCCAGCCGCCAAGGCGCGCAGGAGGCCGAGTGCCCTGCGAGAAGGTAGGCGGCGGTGCGCGCGAAACGAAAGCAGCCCCCGGGCCCCCGCGGGCCGGGCTCAAGGCCGCAGCCGGCTGAGCGGTCCTTCCCCTGCCCTTCGCGCTGCCCACTCCGGCCGCTCCAGGGGAAGGGGCAGAGCCCTGCTCTGGCGAGATCGCCGAGGGAGGGCTGGGGTGGGGAACACCTCGGGCCTCCCGAAGGAAGGCTGCGTTTAACTCCACACCGTTTTCGCGATTTCTCTCTGGCTAATTAACCAGGAGTCCCTGCAGGGTTGTCTGAAGTCACCGCAGTAGGACTAAGTTAAGTGGGCTGCACTCCCCGGCTCTGGGGCAAAGGGGAAAGGGCATGTGCAGATTGCTGTTGCCGGGTCAGAGGGGCCCTGGAGCGCAGGTTTAGTCCTGTTGGGACGCAGCCCTCCGGCGGCGCGCGGGAGCCGCGGGGCAAAGCCAGGCGGTGGCGCTTCTGCTCGGGGGCGGGCGGGGGTGGGGGCGGCGTGCACCTCTGCGCCGTCAAGCCCACTAGCTCTTGGCCTGAGAGCCTTGTGTCTTACAGTGTTGAGCAAACTAAGAGGTGGGGGTGGGGTAGCGATTTAGGAAGGGCAGAGATGGGTCTCAATTTGGGTAGACCGAGTTTTTACAATAAAAACCACTCCGGGAGCGGGGGAGTGTGAGGTCAGGTCTGGGGTTAGAAGTGGCGTGCCTTCCCTCTCCTAACTGAGGATGGAAGCGTTTTTCCGTTCTCAGAGACTTAAAAATCACGCAGTTCTCGGGGCATACACTCCCCGCCGACCTTTCCCAGGTATAATTTGATGGAAGCCAACTAGATACTGCGACTTCGGCTGGCATTTTGGCGGCGTTTGCGTTGGTGGCTGGGCGCTTGCGGCAGGCCGCACGGAAGTAGATGTGTTCGGACCTGCGCCTGAGCGCCGCAGGCAGGCGGAGCGGGTTCCGCGTGGGTTTCAGCCGAGATGCTCAGACCAAGAGGGCGCCCAGACTTAAAAAATGCCTCCAAGTTTTTTTAAAGTATACGACAACCTTCCTCCACACACCCCATGCCTCTTCGCTTAAGAAATTGTTCCTTTTGCATAATCAGGGTTAGCCAACTGCTGAACGGCTCCCCTTGCTTTTCTGCACCCCTTCCACTGTGCTATCGGACCCCCAGGTGGAAGAGCACTTCACAGGGAGTCTGAGCATCAGAGTTCTAGACAGAACGTCTCCACCTTGCAAAGCATTCCCCCTCTCTGGGCCTCACATTCATTGTGTCCCTTACCTTTAGTGAGGCTGGGGAAGTTGAGAGTGGACTGCGGGCATTTTCTAGTTCTTCTGTTTGAGACAAAGGAGTGTGTTATCCCCACCTCCACCCCGCACCCGAGACAGGGCTCTGCATCAACTGGTCCAAATAAGGACAAAAGGTCGCCAGCTCTGTCCTCCCGGAGAGGGGACTTTCTGAGGAGTGGTCACCCTACTCCAGGCACTCAACAAGCTCTCCGGCGTCTTCTGCACCCCTCCTCCCCCGCTCGAAGGAGCCTCCCCCTCCAGGTTGCCCCCCTGCATCTGCAGTCGTCCCAAGTAGCCCTCCGGAAGGCAGGCCCTGGGGCAGGCCGGCAGGCCCCTCATCCGCAGCCCCAAACCTAACAAGTGTTCTCCCCGCGCTCAACAATCAGCTGCCCGGCGTCGCCCAGCGCATGTGGAATAACAAATACTACGCACGCAAATTGCCCACCTCGTGTTGCTAAGCGATTGTTTGTCGGCCCCGCACGCACTGCTCAGCATGGGAGGCCCGCGCACTTCGAGAGCGGGCCCGCGAGCGCTTAGGTCGGAAATGCAGTAAACACGCTGCTGATTCTCTCTATTATCACCCAAACACGATTTCCCACAAAGCAATCACCGCGCCGAAGTCTATGAAAACATGTTTGTGACGGAGGCCGTCGCCCCGGTAATAGCCCTCATTTTTAGGATATTAAAGACTAGATCCGTGAGTTGCACATGCATCAGATCTATTTGCCGGCGGGCATCCATCGAGGCGCTTTTGCGCCGCGGTCATCGCGCGATTGAATCGGAGAGCGTTGATTAAATTGCTTCTCTGATTTAAAAGCGAGTGTCCAAGTTTGGAAGTGTGTGTCCGGGTTATCTCCTCCCACCCAAGACATTTTCATCATGGAGAAAACTGTCGCCCCGCTATCCGCCCCTCATCCTCATTGCTATTAAAAAGACCCAGAAGAAAAAAAAAAGTATGTCCGGACCCAACTTCCGACGGTTCGTTTCGGGAACTTTCTTTTCTTAATTCTCTCAGCGTCTTGCCGGGCCAACTAGCAGGATTCATGATCGGATGCGTTTAAGTAATGTTTTTGCCGTGCCATGTGCAACAAGCTGACGTGTTCCTTTCAAGGATAGGGCGCCCACCTCGCAGGGCGCTTTAGCCGCCGGGTCAAGGGAGTTAAGCACAGTGCGCCGACCCCTCAGCAGCCAGTGTGCAGCGCGGAGACCTCAGCACCGTCTTCACGGAGCAAATCGGTTTTATTGTTTGCATTTGGGCTTAAACGTATATATTGATTTATACCCAGTGTCTCCAAACTAGTGCTTGAAACCCGCTCCAGGGCCCTGCGGCTCTTTGGAAGACATCTCCGGCAGCCGCGGGAGATTTTCCGTGGGAGGTTGGGTCGGTGGAGTGGAATAAACACCATCCCCTAACGCGCAGCGCGCGCAAAGACTGAGTCCGCCGCGTTCAGCGAGACGTAGGGACGCTTTCTGGCTGGTTTTTGCCAAAAGTTTCGCAACATACCGAATAAAAGCCCCCGAGCCCCCGAGGACGAAATAATCAAGGTGTTAGCAAAGCTCACCATAACAGTGGGCGGGGGAAATGGGGGGGAAGGGGGTGTCGAAAAACGACGCCTTCCCAAGGCCTAAGAAATAAATAGCTCGGGTCTTCCAGGATCGCAGAACCCTGCTTTCCGCCAGGCTATTTACCAAAGTTTGTTTCAAACTGACTGCACCGTTGCTTTTGCAAATCACAGAATGCAAATGACGATCATTTGTTCTCGGAGGAACTTTCTCTTGAAATGATTAGCAAAGTCAGTCATTTGAAAATGAGCGCGAGTGCGCAGAAGGTTCCCGAAGCCCCTCGCTAACCGGTATCAGCTTCTAAAGTTTTCATTCATGTAAACCTCATTAATGAAGATCTTTTATTGAAACGTCAAGGGGATTTGAAATTTCGAGTAAATTATGAAGCTTGTATGTCTAGCCAAGTCATGGGTCAAATGCATTTGTGAAAAACTGCTAAAAGAGCATATGGTTTTGAATTTTTCTACAATGACTGGTGTTTAAATAAATTGCTTGTACTGCTTAACTTCATGTGTAATTTTGACAGAAATTGGCCTATAGCCTTTTGATATGTAAACACTTCAGCCTTTTATGCGGTATAAAAAGACACTTGCTTTTTAGGATCAGCTCGGGCCGTCACCCTGTAATTCAGAAAGCTGGCACCTACCATGACATTCTTGCTAGATTTCAACTTTCAAGTGGCAGCCTCAGGGGGAAAAAAAAAAGCAGAGAAAGAGAGAAAGAAAGAGGATATTTCAAAAGCCATGTCCATTTGGGATTAAAAGCTGCCAACGAGGCAAGAGCGTGCCACTTACTCGCTGAAAGAAATGGATAAACCATACTTATTAAAGAACATCTTCTGTCATTTTTCTTTAAGCC